CATCCATCCTCCCATCCATCTTCCTTCTTCCTGTCCATTCATCCATCCTCCCATCCATCCTCCTTTCTCCTGTCCATCCATCCATCCTCCCATCCATCCTCCTTCCTCCTGTCCATCCATCCATTCTCCTATCCATCCATTCATCCTTCTGTTTACCCACATATCCCTCCATCTATCTATCCTTTCATCCTACTATCCATCCACCCACCCACTTGTGCATTCATCATCCCATCCATCCATCCATCCATCCATCCWTCCATCCATCCATCCCTTCTCCCATTCATCCATCCATCATCCCGTCCCTTCCTTTCATCCACTCTGACCCCTCTGAAGATGGTGTCAGCTGGGCAAGCTCTCCTGGGACCAGGCATAACTACTTTGGGGATCCCAAATATTAGAGGTAAAATCAGGGGAAGGGAGATGTGGGAGTATTCAAATCACCTGGGTTCTGGGTTAGGAAACTAAAATGGTATCTAATTAGAGGCAAGAGTCCTGGAAGACCAAGGTTCAAGACTCTGTTCACCTCTGACTTGTGAATGAGCAACCCTGGGAAAGTCCCCATGGGGTCCCAGCTAACTCTGTACGTCYAGGTCCAAGTATATAACATAATTGAGACCAGACACCTCTTATGGGACTGACATAGAAGCAGCTAAACCATCCTCCAGGGATCACCCTGTCTCTCCATCTTGACTGTGGGGAAGTGTCAGCACACAGCAGGACAAAAAGAGGACATAGTCCACTTGAAATGTGGTGACTGGAGATAAAACCTTTTCTTCATGTTTTCTTTCTTTCTCAAGTTCACAGCACACATCAGGTTGCCTGCCTCAGTTCTCTYTGTGCTGAGTTTCCTCATACAAACACAATTACTCAGCAAGTACTTGCTGAGTACGAGGTACTAGGTACCACACATCTGTGGACGAGGTGGAGATGGTTCCTCTCTTCATTAGCTAACAATCTAGACCAGCACTGCCCAAGAGGACGCCAGCCACGTGTGTCATTTAGGTTTCTAGTAGCCACATTTAAAAAGTAGAAGGAAATTAATTGTTAATGATTTGATTTAACATACTATTTCTACAATATTATAATTTCAGCACAGAATATTTAGGATTATTCATGTACTTTATATCACTTTTATTGTATTGTCTYCAAAATCTGGTATATGTTTTATGCAGAGTTCATCTTAATTCAGACAAACTACATGTCAAATGTTTAAGGGCCAAGTGCGGCTAGGAGGTGCACAGGGAGYATCTCAGATCTAGGAGAGAAGGCAAATGAAACTAGCAAATAGCAAATAATACATTCACAAAAGGGGAAGTTTTCTATGAAAGGCACAAAGGGAGTCAGGGAGAACCTCTCTGAAGGGGGACAGGGGACTGGGATATAAGGACACACTATTATAAGAGTGGAGAGAGTATTTCCAACAGAAGGGACAGCACTGCAAAAGACCCATGGTGACAAGAATGTGGCCTTTGTCAAGAGCTAGAGCAGAGGAAGCTGAGGGAGGTGGTAAGAGATGGGGCTGGAGAGTGGAGTGGGGGCCCAGCACGCAGGACCATCGATGGCCATGACTGGGCCTTGACATTGTTTTCTCTGCCATGTGACAGAAAGCATGGGGCACTTTACCCCAGGAGGCCAGGTCATCTGGTTTAAATTGTAAGTCCCTCTCTTACCCTTACTAACTCTTCCCTTTGGGAAGTTGGTGAGAAGTGGACTGTGGCCACCCAGGCAAGAGAGGATGGTGCCCTGGTACAGAGTGGATGAAGAGGCTGGGAAGAAGGGGGTGGGTACTCAGCATAGATGACAGTTTGGACAGTGCAGCTGATATTCYGGGGGGAAGGAAGGAATGCTAGGATGGCTTCAGGCGCTCTGCCTTGACAGTCATTATCTGAGCCGCAGGAACGAAGCAGGGCTCTTCACCAGCTCCACACATGTTTATTCGATGCCCAACTACACTTGGAAAATTGTTCCCAAGATGCGCTGACACTGAGTTTCCCAGAATGCCCCACTCCAAATGGAATAAAGAGATGCTGACAGCTGGGTGAGGTGGCGCTSGCCTGTGATCCTGTCTACTTGGGAGGCTGAAGTGGGAGGATCACAGGTTCAAGGCCAGTCTAGGCAATGCAATGAGAACGTGTTTCAGAATAAAACTTTTAAAGGGCTGGGGTTGTACTTAGAGGTAGAGTGCTCACCTGGCGTGTGTGAGGCCCTGGGTTCAAGCCCCAGTACTGGGGGGGGGGGGAGAGGAAGGACAGAAAGAAAGGAGGGAAGGAGGGGGAGGGGAATGATAAAGGACCCTGATGATTAGGTCCCCATCCCAGTCCTGGCTGTAGCAGCTCTGTGAACCTAAGCAGGTGAGTGTCCTTGGGTCTCTTTTCTCATCCCTACAGGGACAATTATGACAGTCCTGTGTACCCTCACTTGGTCATTAGGGGGAATGATCTAGACACATGTATGAAAGAACTGTTGTTCAAAGCCCCGAAGAAAGGAGAGATATCATTATTAGACTTAATAATTGATTAGCTGTGTATTGTTCAGCCTTTGAAAATGTTTGTTATTGCAAAGCCCAGTTTTTCTTCAGTCGTGAAGTGACTGTTTTACAAGCCRGTTATATGAAGATGCTAAAATTGCAGGTCTCACCCTGTCATTCCCTGGCTTCCAACCCTTCTGTGGTTCACCGTGGTAGGCAAAAATGATGGTTCCCTAAAGATGTCCAACGTTATGCTGCCTGGGAAGGGGGAAGTAATATCGTGGATGAAATTATGTCTGTTTGTTTTTTCCTGCAGATGGAATCCAAGTTGCTAATCAGCTGATCTTGAGATGGGGAGAGAACCTGGATTCATCACAAGGGTCCTTTCAGTGAAAGAGGGGGAGATAGAGTGAGGGTCAGAGGGATGTGACTGCAGAAAGTGGGGCGCTGTGACTTCTGGTTTGGAAGATGGAAGGGGGCCACCAGCCAAGGAATGCAGGTGGAAACCACAAGGCAACCGATTCTCTTCTGGAGCTTCCCTAACTCTAACCCTAACCCTAACCCTGCTAGCTCAGTGAGACCYGGGTCAGATTCCTAACCTCCAGCATTATAATACCTTCGGGTGATTTCAAGTCACTAATTTTGTGATAATGACAAGCAGCAATTGGAAACTTGTGAGCTCCCCAGGGCCCCTAGAAAAAAGTTCAGCCTGCTTAGCATGACCTCAGGGGCTCCGTCTTCTGCCGGGAGCATCTTCAGCAAGTTGCTTAGCTTCTCAGTTTTATCATCAATAAATAAGGAGAGGGGGAGGGGAAAGGCCTGTGGATCTTTATGTGATTAAATGAGAGGACATAYTGAGTAGCTAGGTAAGTCAGCAATTYAGTTAGACCCTGTCTCTAAAACAATCTGTTACCAAATCTGTAAAAAAGGAAACCAACAAAAGCATTCATGCTTAATGGCCTTCTATCTCCCCTCCTTGACACCCTCTCCTGGTCCTCATCTGCATTTTTCTTCCTGTGACATACTCCATACTCCCTGAGTTAGCACACATTGTTCCCTCTGCCTGCAATGCTCTTCCCATCCCCTTTATCAGGCTAACTCTCATTTCTTCCTGAAAGTCTTTACTGACCCCATGTCGACTTGTTTGGACCACCTTGTTATGCATTTCCCAAACATCCTAGACTCCTCTATCATGTTATTACTAGGACTTGAGGGTTTTTTCATTTAAGAAAAAAAAATCTAAAATCCAGATAAGGAACTGCTTGACCTATTTGCTTCAACTGTATTGTTTAAATAGAACTTTCCAAATAAACTTGAGTAGCTGAAGTTGTCCTTCTCCAATTCCTTTCCTCTCTCCCAAGATACAACAATTCTTATGTGCTTGGGGCTGGGGATGTGGCTCAAGCGGTAGCGCACTCGCCTGGCATGCGTGAGGCCCGGGTTGGATCCTCAGCACCACATACCAACAAAGATGTTGTGTCCACCGAAAACTGAAAAATAAATATTAAAAAATAATTCTCTCTCTCTCTCTCTCTCTCTCTCTTTAAAAAAAAAAAACCAATTCTTATGTGCTTGATGTGTATCTTTTGAGACATGTTTTAAAGCTTGTCACACCTATATACCCATAAGAATATGAAACATACTTTCATATGTATGTTTATAGTTAACATAAATTATAACCTTATAAAATATATCATTCTGTAACTTTTATTCACTGAACAATAAGTTTGGGGGACATCTGAATCATTTTAATCACTGTATAGTATTTGAAAAATWTTTTTTAGTTGTAGATGGACAGAATACCTTTATTGTATTATTTATTTATTTTTATGTGGTGCTGAGAATTGAACCCAGTGCCCTACAATGCTATATTTTATTATTAGAATATACCCCATTTTATTAATCTACCATCCTCCCAATGGACATTTAGATTGTGTGTAATAGTTTCCACCATTATAAAGAAAGTTGCAAAGGAGATTTCTGTWCCCTGAAGTTTGTAGTTCTTTAGGTAGCGCACAAATGCGTGCACACACATGCACATACATATATACATACACACTTTGTGGGGGTTTTGTGTGTCTTCTTTTACTTAGCATAATGCTTTTGAGGTTCATTCATGTATCAACATTAGTAGTTCAAATATCAGGAGCTGGAGTTGTGGCTCAAAGGTAGAGCCCTCACCTGGCATACGTGAGGCACTGGGTTCAATCCTCAACAGTACATAATAATAAAATATTGTGTCCACCTATAACTAAAAATAAATATTTAAAATAATAGTCCAGGGGCTGGGGATGTGGCTCAAGCGGTAGTGCGCTCGCCTGGCATGCGTGCTGTCCAGGTTCGATCCTCAGCACCACATACAAACAAAGATGTTGTGTCTGCCGAAAACTAAAAAAAAATAAATACTAAAAAATTATAAAAAAAATAATAGTCCAAATATCAGCATGTATCAATACTTCATTCTTTCATTCTTCTTTATGGCTGAATAGTATTCTATTATATGAATGTACTGCAACTTGTTGGACATTTGTAATATTTCCACTAATTTAAAAACATTTTAATTGTTGATGAACCTTTGTTTTATGTATTTTTATGGGGTGCTGAGGATCGAAGCCAGTGCGTCACACAGGCTAGGCGAGCGCTCTGACACGGAGCTGCAACCCCAGCCCCCACTTTTTCATTATTAACAATGCTGCTAGGAACATGTGGGCATAAATGTTTGAATACCTATTTTCAGTTCTTTGGGGGTCTAAACCTCAGGTTTCTTGTGCTTTGTTTCATAGTTGGTCACTATTCATTGAGTTAATGTGTCTTGTTTATTCACTCACTGAGCAGTGTTGGCCATGAGCTAAGCTCTGGGAATGCAGTGGCAAATAAATAAAACTCATTTTTTTTTCTTTTTTGATGCYTATGTGGGGGAGATATTGAGGACTCAAAGGAGTCTGCCTAGAGAAGTGGGTGGTCAGAGAAGACTTTCCTGAGATCAAATGCAAGCTGAGGCCTGGGCAGAGGGGATGAAAAGAGGCACCAGAAAAAAGAACACCAAGATGAACAGAGATAAGTGTGAATCCAGRAGTGTGGGAGGGGGGCCAAGGGTCAAACCAGTAACTGAAGGAAGGGAGGAGACTGGAATGGGAAGAGCAGCGGCAAAGAGTTGGAAGGATGAGGCTGCTAAGTCCTCAGACCCTGGATCAGTAAAAACTTTACTGAAGCGGGGCTCGGTGGCCCACGCCTGTAATCCCCGCGGTTCAGGAGGCTGAGGCAGTAGGATCACGAGTTCACAGCCAGCCTCAGCAATTTAGCGACGCCCTCAGCAACTCAGCAAGACCCTGTCTCTAAATAAAATACAAAAAAGAGCTGGGGTTGTGGCTCAGTGGCTGAGTGCTTCTGGGCTCAATCCCCAGTACAAAAAGGCTTGCCAATCAGGATGAGGATTTCCATCTAAGGGCCATGGGGAGCCAGGGAAGGTTGTACACAAGCCAGGGAGAGCATGGCTGAATCTGGATGGCCAGAGGGATAATTGGTCAGGAGGCTGCTGCAGGTGTCGAGGGAAGTTCTGGCATAAGAGTTGGTGCTTAAAATATAGAAGGTGACTGAAAGAGCAGAGGGGACTGGTGACGTTACCAACTGACCAGGTGACTTAGTGGTCCTTGAGTAAGGAAGCAGTCCCATTGCATTTATCAAAAAGTGACAACTTCTCAGAAGCAGCATTTTTTAGATCAAGGAAGCTTGGCTGGAGGCGGCGCTGGGCAGTAAGTGCCCTCGGCGGGCAGCCCCCTCCTCTGGCCGGGTGTGCCCAGGGTCGCAGAAAAGTGGGACTGGGAGGGAAAGGTCGAGAAGGCCGAGGACCTGGGTGCAGGACGCCCTGGGAGCTGGGCACTCCACCGGGAGGCGCCCCTTTGGCTCGTCCAATCAGAGCTGCGGATCCGGCGTCCCTTCGTCGCCTTGGCAACGGGACGCACAGGCTCTAGCCGGACGTAGTGGCGGCTTGGATCTGGCCCTGGGGAATCGCGTCATGTCGCGACCGAAGGTAGGAGTGGCACCGAGCCAGAGGCTTTCATCGTCCTCCGAGAGAGGGAGGGAAGCCACGGGGTTCAGAGCCCGGGGGCGGGTCATCGCGGGGCCTTGCGACCCAGGAAGGAAAGGTCAAAACGGGACGAGGCCCGAGGGCTGCTCACAGACCCCCTGGCGGGAAAGTTACAGGACCGGGTTCTAAGCTGTACCAAGATTGCTGTTTAGGAGGCTGAGGCAGGAGGATCTCACGCTGAGSACAGCCTCAGCAGCTTAGCGAGGCCCTAAGCAATTTAGTTAGACCATGTTCTAACAAATATGAAGGGCTGGGTGCGGCTCAGCGCCCCTGGTTCGATCCTTGTTACAAAACAAAAAACAAACAAATAAAAATAAGCATTCTGTGACCCTGTGGGCAGCTCAAGTTCAGATTTCCCCGTGGCCCATTAAAACAAACAAACACCAGTAAAACTCTAATTAGTGCCTTTTCCAAGCCGAGCCCAGCCCTGACCAAGGGACACAGAGGTGAATCAGGCAAAACCCTGCTCTCCAAGACCGACCAGCCAACTCTCATTTTAAGACTAGGAAAGATGAGGCGCAAAAAGGGAGATGAATTACTGTGGAGTCCAGCTCCTCTGCCCCAACCTGCTTCTTATCTCAGGTTCCAACCTCTCAAGAATGGCATCTCCATTTCTTTTAATTCCCTTTAACAACAAAAAAACAACTGTGTCTGCTTTCAGAGTGTCGTGAACGTCGCTTTTTTTGTCAGGAGTCATAATTCCTGTTGATGGTTATTCGAGGTCCATCTTCCCTGCCTTAACCCCGGCTCCGGCAGGGAGCAGACATACGCTGATCACTGTTGAACGGCTACTGGTGGAGGACTCGCTAGCTGCTCAGGACAAACACCCGGGCTCTGTCTTGACTCCTCCCCATTCACCTCCCACATCCAAGAAGGTCCCCCCTATTTTTGGTGTTTGGATCAAATCCAGGGCTTCTTCCTTTAACTTTCTAGATTTAGGCAAGAGGCCTGGTGTAGGACTATGCTTTCTTTTAAATGACCCAGGAAATTGGGTATATGAACTTCTTAAGAGAGAAGGACAGAATAAATTGTGTGTACCCTCACAAAAATGTGCAAGACTTCTCTACTAAAAACTAGAAACCATTGAGAAAAAAATAAAGAAGACTTAAACTAATGGAGAGAGAGAGAGAGAGAGAGAGAGAGAGAGAGAGAGAGAAACAAGCATATTTTATGGATTAGAAGAGTCAATGCGTTAGTTATGATGTCATTTCTTCCCCAAATGATCTTAGAGTCAATGTGCTCCTCATCAAAATCCCAGCATGTCTTTTAGTAGAAATCAGCAAGTTGATTCTAAAATTTGTATTGTTGGTTGAGTATAACTCAGTGGTACAGCACACACTTAGCCATGTTTAGCTGGCTTCTATTCCCAGCACCAAAAATAAATAAATAAACAATTAATAAATAAACAAACAAACAAATAAATAGATAGATAGAAGAATTTATATCCATGTGCAAATGGCACCTCATTGCAAAGACAATGTTAAAAATCAAAGCCAGAGGACTTACACTGCCTGATTTCACTATTTACTAGAAAACTACAGTGCTTAAGAACATGTGATGGTKGCATAGGAATAGACAAGTAAATAGAGCCCAATATAGTCCACAGGCAGACCCACGTGGTCATGGTCGACTGAATTTTGACAAACATGCCAGTGCAATTTGGTAAGGAAAGGAAACGATTTACAACCAAGGACTCTGGAGCAACTGGATAAACCCATGAAAAGTGGAATTGAAAAGAGAGAGGATTAAAGATCTAATTTTCAAAAAGATATGTAGGGTGAGCTGAGTAGTGCTGGGCGAGTAGGCAGGGCTTGGGTGGGGGAAGGATACGATTTCATTTTCTTTTGTGGGGGAATTAACTACTGGTTTTGGAAAGTGCCATCTCACGTCCCTTTCCACGGGCTCTTTGAGGGGTATGATAATGTGGTAAGCAGAATTCTGAGATGGCCCCCAAGGTCCCCACGCCTGGTGTACATGCCATGCATAATTCCCTCCTCTTRAGTGTGGGTGAATTTGATGGCATTGCTGTTGCCATGGTGACATTGTGTTATATGAAACCATCATAGCTGACTTGGAGGGCAGTGGGTTGGAAGTCAAGGGACATGCTAAGGGAGGCATACAGGAAGAACACCCGTGTGGTGAACTGCCTATGGAGCCACTTGGCAAGGAACAGCAAGCATCCCCTAGACACTGGGAGCAGACCCCAGTGGGCAGCAGTCCTACAGCCCCAAGCAACCAAATTCTGCCAACATGTGAATGAGCTTGAAGATGAGCCCCGATGAGAACCAAAACTCCAGCCATCACCTTGAACGTAGCCTTAGGAGACCAGGGCAGACATTCCGGCTAAGCTGTGCACATATTCCAAACCCACAGAAACTATGAGATAGTGAATGTACATTATTTTAAACCACTCAATTTATGGCAATTTATTACACAGTTGCTGAAAATGAATGCGGATCACAGCTCTGTCCCAACTGTAAAGGTCGGCTGCACAGGGCCAAAATCAGTTTCTCTTTCATACATGCCTTAGGGACCAGTCTTACCAGGACTCRGGGGACAAGCTGTTTTGGATATGGTTGGAGCTGAAATACACCCCTCTCCCCCAGCCACACACACACTGAGGATTTGAAAGGTCTGTTTTGGGTGAAAAGAATTCATGTTGCTGAGTCTGACACAGCCCTTTCCTGGATTCTAGGTCCAATCAAACATGCAAAGTTAATTTTTTTTATTTTTTAGAGCTGGGTATCAAACTCAGTGCTCCACATGTGCTTAGCAGGCACTCTACCGCTGAGACACACCCCCCAATTAGGACAGACGCAGAGCCTGATAAACTGAGCTCTCAAAACTGGGGTTCAGGGTCGAACTTTGGAGCGCCAATAAAATAGGCATTCACTCTGCGGGTGTTGCTCATGGAACAAGACTCCAGTGTAGTGGGCTGCTTGGGAACTCACCCTAAGGGTAGCAGGTAAGTTCTGCACTGATTTTCTGGGCACCTGATGGTGGATGAGAACCTGACCAGGTTGCACCTTCCTGTCTTGGGACGGAGGCATGGTTGAGTGTGGGCTGAGAAGGCAGGTGGACGTACAAAACCAGTGACATCATTTTCCTTTTCTCCTTACAGAATCAAAATTACAAGGGCCATGGATTTTCAAAAGGAAAAGAGCGGTGAGTGGTCCCTCTCCGTCCAATTATTGGAACTAATTTCCTTCCCTTCCTCCTTCCTCCCTTCCCTTCCCTTCCCTCTCCTCTTCCCTTCCATATCACTGGGAATAGAATTCTAGGTTGACTTTTTTCTTTACATACTTGAAAGATGACATTCCCTTGTCTTCAGACTGACATTATTTCTTTCTCCCCACTCCACCCCTGGCAGTAACTCTTCCTGGCCTCCAGCAACCTGACTGTGCTTTACCTTGGTATGTTTTTTTATTCTGGGTGTGGGTACCAGGCGCTTAACCACTGAGCCACATTCCCAGCCCTTTTTGTGTGTTTTATTTAGAGACAGGGTCTCACTAGGTTGCTTACAGCCTCACTAAATTACTGAGGCTGGCTTTGAACTTGTGATCCTCCTGCCTCAGCCTCCTGAGCCGCTGGGATTACAGGCATGTGCTAGCACACCCAGCTTCTTTGCCTGACTTCAATAGCAGGTGAACACTAAATTCACAAAGTAAATTTGGAAGCTCTCCCCCCTCTTCCCTTTTGTGGAGGAGACTGTGTGGAAGTGGGGTTAATGTTTCTTTAAATGTTTGGGGGAATTCTCCAGTGAAACCATCTGGTCCTGAAGATGTCTTTTTTGGGAGTTTTAAAATTATGTATTCTATTTCCTCGATAGTCACAGAGCTATTTAAATGACCTGTCTCACATTAGGTGTGTATGGTGCTGAGTGCTTTCCGGGGCTCACCCTGTGTGGGTCGTCACAAGCAGGTGTGTGGGGGCCTTGGCCTGCTCCTAACTGTACTTTTCCCATCAGCAGGGCCTGTGTCACTCCTTCCTAGGTAATTGTATCTTCTCTCTCTCTCTCTCTCTCTCTTGTCATCTTGCTGACAAATGGTTTTGTTGATTTGATCTTTCCCAAGAATTAGCCTTTTATTTTATTGATTTTTTTCCTGTTTTCAATTGTATTGATCTCTCCCTCTCCACCAGGCCTCCTATGACATCACCCCAGAGCGAGAGGGCAGCTGGTCACTGAGGGGTGGGAGCAGAGGTCCAGGCTCTCCACGGGGCCTCCCGGGCGGGGAGGAAGCCCCAGCCTTGTCCCGGGCCTTCTCTGACACCACAGGGGCAGGGGCATTGCTTCTAGACTCCCTGGCCYTTGCTGGCACAAGTGGGGGACGCAGATGTTTTCTGCAGGCTTTGGCTGATGGAGCAGTTGTTCTCTGCCCTGCGTCCTGCTGGGGGGCTCTGCTCTTGKGGCTAAAGAGAGCAGGCTTCTGCCGGGGCTTTATTTAAGTCTGTGCCCATTGGCATGTCTGGGTGGCCATTGGCTGGCTTTTTTTTTCTTAGTTACAGGTGGACACAATACCTTTATTTTGTGTATTTATCCTTATGTGCTGCTGAGGATGGAACCCAGGGCCTCACCCATGCCAGGCAAGCGCTCCACCGCTCAGCCCCAGCCCCAGCCCTTGGCTGGCTTCTTTGTCTCCACACCTGGGATACGGAAGCCCAAAGAAAACCCAGGGAATTCACCACCCTATGTTTGTTTTATACAGAATGTACTGGGTTTCGGTGCCCTCGTAGGAGGAATAGGGGAAATGACATCTGCTCCATCTTCCCAGATGGATGTCAGGAAGGGRACTGTGCGCACGTGTGGCATGGAGTGTGAGAACTAGTCATGGTGCCCGTGGAGCAGCCCGGTCGTGTCCAGCACATAGTAGGCTCTGGACAAAACACTTGCTGTTTTTTGATGATTCAAAGTTTCTGTAATGCTCAATTTGATTATTTCAGGGATTGTCACGCTCTGATGCTAAACTCTGAAATTCAGGGATCCTGTTTTYGGCATTTCTAGCTGTGGCTTTGATCTTTCTTCCTCCCCCTTTATCCTATCCCTGGRGCGTGCTAGGAAAGTTGGATTCCAGCAAGTGTTCTGTTGCCTTGTCTTGCAGAGAACAGAGAGCACTGATCCGGTTCAAGACTACCCTTATGAACACTCTGATGGACGTCCTGCGCCACAGGCCGGGATGGGTGGAAGTGAAAGAGTAAGACCCCCTCCCTCTCCTCACCCCCCTCCCTCTCTTCACCCCCTCCCTCTCCTCACCCCCTCACCGTTTCTTACAGATCCCTGCCTGCCTTGGTTTTTCTCCCAGACCCCCAGCCCAGTAGCCACTAGGACTTGCCCTAAAGTAGCGCTGACATTTATTTAGCACCCACACTGTGGTGGCCAAATCACTCACACCGTCCCTGTCACTAATTTAAGCCTTACAACCATCCARTCAGGTATGGCAGTGTTCAGGGGTGTTAAGCCAACTGCTTAAGGTCACACAGCAAGTAGGTGCCCAGTCTGTTTGACTGATGCTGGGGGTGTCCTGTGGCTCTCCGGAGAAACAGAGGGATGCTGGCAGCACAGACCTGCTGGCTTGAGTCCTCCCGGGATGGGCCCAGGTCAAGGACTAACCTAGCTGGTCACTTACTAGTTCTGTGGCCTAGAACAAGTGACTTGACCTGTAGGCCTACGTTTCTGCCTTTGTGCTGGGCCCTGGGGCTGCCGAGGGAGGAAAATAAATATACGACCCCTGGCTGCGTGAGGGAGGGGTAAGGTTGGCATGCCTGTGCYAGGGACCTGAAGCAAAGAGGCTCTGATGGGCTAGAAGCCCGTCTATCTGCCCCTCGACCCTCCACTGAGGTCTGTAAATAAGAAATTCCKGGATGGCGAGGAGGCTGAGAGAAATGAGGGGCCTGGCTAGTTCTGGCGCTTTGYTTTGCTTTGCCTTGAGCAAGTCCCTCGTCCTCATGGTGCCAAGTGGAGCTCCAGCCCACCTTCACGTTCCACACAGCAGGAGGCCGGAAGGAGGCAGGGAAGCCATGCCAGCCAGGCACAGAGGCGCTCGCCTGTAACCCCAGCAACTCGGGAGGGGAGGTTGAGGCAGGAGGATCGCAAGTTCGAGGTCAGCCTCGGCAACTTAATAAGACCCCAACAACTTAATGAGGCCCTGTCACAAAATAAAAAATAAAAAAGGCTGGAGATATAGCTCAGGGGTAAAGCACCCCTGGGCTCAATTCTCAATACCCTCCCCCCCCAAAAAAAAGGCATGCTCCTACCTGGATGTGGCTCAGTGGTTAAGTGCCCCTGGATTTAATCCCCGGTACCAAAAAAAAAAAAAAAAAAAAAAAAAGCCCTGTAGACACTCCAGCCCTTGGCATCCGTGATCTCTTTTAGCCATCCCCCAAAATCTGGGTAGGTGCTACTGTCAACCCCACTTTACCAGTGAGAAACCTGGGCACAGAGTAACGAAAATGCCATGTTTCAGAGGTCCCTCGCTTGTAAGGCTAGGATTTGCAGCTGGTGTGCACATCTGCAGAGTCACAGGCTCGTCCCCGCYTCCCTCAGTAGGCTCTCAGAGAGGGAAGGAACAGATGAGAGAATGTTCCGGATCCTGGTGCTGCAGAAATTAGGAGTCAGCTGTCCGTGGCAAGCTGTGGTTCAGGTTGTGAATACAGAGCACTCTCCTTGGGACTTTGGAAACCGTTACAGCAAGGATAATGATGCTGATGACGGCAGCTACTACAGATTTGCTCTCTTTGAATTTTCTTTTGGTTCTGGGGATTGAACCCAGGGCCTCCCACATGCTAAGCACACACCCTACTACTGAGCTAGACCCCCAACTCCCTTCATTTCTGTGTACTATTCCACTGTATGGACATACCATGCTTTATCTATTCATTAGTGAAGAGGCATTTGGATTGCTTCCACTTTGGGGCTAACAATGCTACTATGAAGATGCATGTATGAACTCTGAGTGGAACATGTTTTCTTTTCTCTTGGGAGAAACTCCATCAGAAGTAGAATTGCTAGGTCATATGGTAACTCTATATTTAACTTTTTGATGAACCGCTGGATTCCATTTTCCATTTCCAACAGGACTGTATAAAATGTCAGTTTTTAGGCATTCTCACCAGTACTCATTGATATTTTTAAAATTTTAGCCATCCCAAGTCGGTGTGAAGTGGCACCTCATTCTGATTAGCTTTTCCCTCGTGGCCAATGAWGCTTGACATATTTCATTTGCTTGTTGGCCATTTGTAAATCTTTGGAGAAATGACTATTAAAACCTATTGCACATTTAAAAACCCAGTTCTTTGTCTATTTATTGTCGAGTTGTAAGTATTCTTTATACCCTTATCAGACACATGATTTGCAAACATTTCCCCTCATTTTGTGGACTTTCTTCACTGTGACTTTTGAGGCACAAAATTAATTTTTGACAAAGTCTAATTTATCTATTTTTTTTCTTGGTTGCTTGTACTCTGGGTATCATATTTAAGTAAGCATTGCCTAATCCAAGATCACAAAATTTTACTCTTATATTTTCTTTCTTTTTTAAAAAAACTTTTCAGTTGTAGATAGACACAATACCTTTATATATGTGGTGCTGAGAATCCAACCCAGGGCCTCACACATGCCGGGCAAGCGCTCTGCCACTGAGCCACAACCCCAGCCCTCTTATGTTTTCTTCTAAGAGTTTTTTATATTTTTAACTCTTACGTGTAGGCCTTTGATTTGATTTTGTATATGGTGTGAGTTAGGAATCCAACTTTAACATTTTCAATGTAATTTTTAAACTTTTTATTTGAAATCATTTTAAACTGAAAGCTTCAAAATACAGTTGTCCCTTGGTGACGAGCTGGGATTGGTTTCAGGACACAGCTCCTTCTTTTAGCAGCTTCACCCAGTTTCCTCCGCTAGCTGCTTATGTGACCAGTACGTCTGTCCACGCCTGGAAGTGAACAGACACTATGAAGCAAGCAACGGGCATCGTTGGAACTTCCCCAGTATTTTTTACTAATTTCATTTTCTGCCTCATGATCTATTCCAGGTCCCACATTACTTTTAATTGATCTTTGTTACCACAAATATGCCCTTGATACATTCAAAGAGGACTCTTTATTTTATAGAATGTCCCTGGGTTGGGATCTGTCTGATGTGGTGTCCTCCCCAGTGAACTGCATCAGGGGGCTCATGGGCCCAGCCGGACTTACACTGGTGTTGCCTGGGTCGCTAAGTTGAGGCGGTGTTTCTCCAGTGAAGATCAGCTTTTATGGGAGGGTACTGGGGATTGAACTCAGAGGCACTCGACCACTGAGCCGCATCCCCACCTATTTTGTATTTTATTTAGAGGCAGGGTCTCTAAATAATTTAGCACCTGGACATTGCTGAGGCTATGAACTTTGAACTCATGATCCTCCTGCCTCAGCCTCCTCATCCGCTGGGATCACAGGCAYGTGCCACCACACCCGGCTGGGTAGCGTTCTTCTGTAAGGAAATAGTTTTTTTCTCCTGCTTCTTACTTATTTAGTATGGGTCTGGCTCATTGATATCCATTATCTTGAGCGGAAATATCCACTCCTTGATCCTCTAGTAGGGAAACTGAGGCCCAGAGAAGAGGGCAAGGTCACAGAGGAGTCATTGCCTGTGGCAGAACCAGAATAGGGGCTCTCTCTCCGGCATGATGTGGCCCAGTGCAAGCATCGGAGTGGAGAGGGACAGGGAGCTGGATGAGGCSCGGGCGGCCAGCCTGGAATGGGGCTGTCTGGTGACCAAGGGTTTGGAGGGCAGATGGCCATGTCCCCAGGGGGTTTCCATCCGCTACGGAAGCCATTGCTCACGACTGCTGTGTGTGCAGCAACAGCCTGAGAGAAGCRCTGGAGGAGGCCCAGGCCCAGGTTTTCATTCATAACTCAGGATGGAATTGGAAAAGGGTGATTCCTGACTCATGTCGCTCCATCGCTGCCACCACCTGTGTCACCACCTGTGCAGGCATGTGGTGTTTGCTTAGGATTGTCCTCAAGCTGACTCACTCCTTTTACTTAAATAAAGGAACTTTCATATCGCTATGATAGCATCTGTGGGATTATGCAYTTGTCTTGCTATTGATTTATTTTCCCCCCATTTGACATTAAAGCAGGGACATGGCTCTTAAACCCCTCCTGACCCCAGTACTAGGGATTGAACCCAGGGGTGCTTAACCACTTAACATATATTTTATTTAGAGACAGGGTGTTGCTAAGTTGCTTMGGGCCTTGCTAAGTTGCTGAGGTTGGCTTTGAAYTCACGATCCTCCTGCCTCGGCCTCCTAAGCCAATGGGATGACAGGCATGTGCCACCACTCCGGCTCATGTTGGCATCTCTTAGAATTGCAGTCCACCACAGAATTCTCCCACAGTTGGTCATGTTCAGGCCAAGGTCATGGGTCACCCTTCTTGTAGCTGCCTCCTTCTTGTCCAGTTTCTGCCTCAAAGTTCCCCAAGATTTTTTTTTTCAAAATTCAGTCCATTTGTCCATAGTAGGGGGGAAAAAACAAAGCAGGGAGCAACTCAAACACCTCTTAGTTTGAAAATGGATACACTGTAGTGTGTTCATTCAATGAAGTGGAACGTGGTGATTAAAATGACTGAATTAGACCCCATGTGACAAATAAAGAAGCAGATTGCAGTGGTTCTGGCCAGAGCTTGGACTCTGGAGCCCAGTGGCCTCTGTTCAGTGAGCTCCTTAACCTCTCTGGGTGGGCCTCAGTTCTCTCATCTGTAAAATGGACATAACGACAGAACTTGGAGTTGCTGTGGGGATCAATGAGTTCATATTTGCACAGTACTTAGAACAGCACCTGGCGGGTGGTGAGCCATAAGGATTAGCAAGAAGGAAGTTGGAAAAAAACATGCCAGACAATGTCACAGGCCGTGTCCAGACAGAGGAAAGCCATCCAGACACTGTGAAGAGATGACAAGCCACCAAACTCAGGCTGGTGGTTTCCTCTGGGGCAGAAAGAGGAGATAGATGCAGGGATATACAGGGGCCTTCAGTTATATGTACTTTAAAAAAAAAGTGGCATAATCATGGCAGCACTATTTTATTTCCTGATTCCTCTTTTGAGCACCCCGGCTCCCAGCACCTGGCTCTAGTCCCCGAATTTAGTCCATCACTTGATTTCCTGTCCCCCTCTCTGGCATGGTGGTGAAGAACAGGGTCAGAACGTGGCACCTGGTGGAGCCYGGTGTGAGTTCTGGGGGTGCCGTGTCTTTGGTGAACAAGGCCATCCTGTCCTGGAACTGCGGGAATGATCGTTGTCACCTCTTAGGGCCACTCTGAGGCTTAGCAAGAGGGGTCTTTGTGAACTGGGAAGACCCTTCAGGTGTGAGCCGTTCCGTCACTTGATACCGTGGGCTGTGGAGGAGGAAGGCAGGTGGTGTGGACAGGTGTGCCCCATGTGCAGGGCCTGGTGTGGATTGTGACTGGACAGGCAGGCCCTGCCTAAAGCTTCGGCCACTTGGTACCTGGGCTCAATGTGCCCACATGTGCTAAGGGCTCAGGGAAGGCACAACCTGCAGACAGYGGTGGCCTCCGAGGGACTCCTGGTGGACGCACTGCCACTCGCCCTTCCCTGGGCCCCTCAGCTGCACATCCTGGGGCCCCAGACCCCAGCAGTGCTGAGGCCCTCAGGTCATGACCTTTGCCTCTTCACCCCAGCGAAGGGGAGTGGGACTTCTACTGGTGTGACGTCAGCTGGCTCCGGGARAACTTTGACCACACCTACATGGACGAGCATGTGCGGATCTGTCACTTCCGGAACCACTATGAGGTGAGCTGGGCAGGTCAGTGGGACCCACCCCACCAACTCAAGTTACAGGGTGTGGTGACAAGTAGGAGCTTGTTTGGGAGGGACAAGGACCAGAACAGAAAAATATAAGGGGATGATGGGGTATAYGCCAGGTGGGGGACATGAGGCCTAGGTATCTGGCAAGCTCAATGGTTAGAGGTTGTGCGGATCTAAAGCCTRAGGAGCAGTCTGTTTGAGGATGCAGAGTTAAGGACACAGGCTATGGGGGGCAGGCTAGTTTGGGGGTGCAAGGAGCAGGAGTCTTGGGGGACTTCAGGGTGCAGGCAAGCTGGGAAGTTTGGGGTCCAGAGGTAGATTGGAGGTCTGGAGGGAACCTGACCTCAAAGAGACCTGGAGGACCAGTGGTGAGGGATTTAAAATGTTAGCGTAGCTGGCGCGCACCTGTAATCCCAGAGACTTGGGAGGCTGAGGCAGGAGGATCGCAAGTTCAAGGCCAGCCTYAGCAATTGAGGCCCAAAGCAGCTTAGCATGACCCTGTCTCAAAATAAAAAAATAAAAAGGGCTGGGGATGTGTCTCAGTGGTTGGGCGCCCCTGGATTCAATCCCTAGTAYCAAAAATAAATAAAAAATAAAATGYTAGTGTGGCTTAATGGTTAATAAATACAAACTTCCACGTCAGAAAAGACCGGATCAAACTCTGGATGTGCCACTTGTTTGTTGGCGCCCTGGGCCACCGGCTGCATTCTGCCCTGCCTCAGTGTCCCTGCCTGGGACGTGGGACAATCATAGACTAGAGGCTCTTGGTCTGGGTTGCTCTGACTGYTCCTGCTATTTTGTGGCCAGGAGAGGAGGCTGGGGGTGTGCTGGGTGGCAGGGCTGGGGTCAGGAGCTGGGGCCGGGCAGGAGCTGGAGGCTCACCCAGCCTGCCCACTGCTGCCCAGCTGACCCGCAAGAACTACATGGTGAAGAACCTGAAGCGCTTCCGGAAGCAGCTGGAGCGCGACGCGGGGAAGCTGGAGGCGGCCAAGTGCGACTTCTTYCCCAAGACCTTCGAGATGCCCTGCGAGTACCACCTGTTTGTGGAGGAGTTTCGCAAAAACCCGGGGATCACCTGGATCATGAAGCCTGTGAGTGCCTGGTGCAGGGGCCTGGGGGAGGGGGTCAGCGGGGATCCTGGGAAGCCCCAGGCACCCGAACAGGGACGGGCTCTGCCTGGACGATCTGCTAGGAGCACTAGCTGCCGTCCCTAAAGGGCCACTTGAGTTCCTTTTCTTGGCAGTTCGTAGAGCCAGCTGGCTGTGACTGCTCGCACGTAGTAGGTGCTCAATAAGCATTTATTGAATGCACAAGTGGTCATCAGGACAAGGCAGGGGTCCAGAGCCCTTCTTCCTAACATGGGAGAAAACAGTGGGTGAACCAGCCAAGTGCTTTACTGCCCATCAGCCTTGGGGTGGGCCTCACCAGCCCCATTTTAAGGATGGAGAGCCTGGGGCCTGTTTATTCAAGCATCCCACAAATGCTCACTGGGCCTTTGCCATGTGCCAGGCACAGACTTAGGCCCAGGGAATTCGGCTCWCAGCAAGTCAGACGTGGTCTCTGCTCTCTTTGAGGATGGACAGTAAGCCAGCAGAGGATACATGTGTTGCGTGATTACRGTGTGTTGAGTGTCACTAAGGAGAATGGGTGCAATGGCATACACCTGTAATCCCAGTGGCTTGGGAGGCTGAGGGGGGAGGGAGGATCAGGAGTTCAAAGCCAGCCTCAGCAAAAGTGAGGCGCTAAGCGACTCAGTGAGACCCTGTCTCTAAATAAAATACAAAATAGGGCTGGGGATGTGGCTCATTGGCCAAGTGCCCCTGAGTTCAATCCCCGGTACCAAAAAAAAAAAAAGGAGAATGGTGTCAGGAGAGGGAAAACAGGGGTGGGGACCTCCCCAGCCAGGCAGCTACTGAGAAGAAGTGAGAGATTGAGATCTGAGGCCAAATCCTTGGTTCCAACACTAGCCATCCCACTTACTGTGCAGCCTCAGGCAGATTACTCAACTTTCCTGTGYCCCAGTTCCCCATCTGCAGAGTGAGAAGAACTGTGGTTCCTATTGCAGAGTATTGTGCAGTAGACAAGTTAATGCATATAGTACCTGCTCTATAAATGATAGTCATTATTGTGACTATAATAATTAGTCTTGATCTCTGAGCTGAAGGATGCCTGGGAGTCAGCCTGGAGAAAGGYGGAGGTAGGGAAGAGCATTCCAGCAGAGGGGACTGCATGTGTGAAGCCTTGCTCTGGACAGCCCTTCCAGGGTCAAGAAACAGGGCAAGATGGCGCTCAGCCCTTCCTGTGCCAGGGCTACCTCTCGGCCACATGCCACCTGTTAGTCAGCTTTTCATTGCTGTAATAGGACTACCTGATGTGACTTGGAGGAAGAAAGGTTGATTATGGCTCATGGTTTCAGAGATTTCAGTCTGTGGTCAGAGGCCCTATTGCTCTGGGCCTGAGGTGAGGCAGAATCAGACTATCACACCAGCCAGATGCAGTGGCTCACACCTGTAATTCCAGCAGCACTGGAGGCTGAGGCAGGAGGTTCCCAAGTTTAAGGCCAGCCTCAACAACTGAGCAAGACCCTTTCTCAAAATTAAAAAAAAAAAATTAAAAAGGTATAAGGATGTGGCTTGGTGGTATAGTTCTACTGCACTTGCATTAAAAATGTATGTGTGTTTGTGTGTGTGTGTGTGTGGTGTGTGTGTATGTGTGTGTGTGAATGAAGGCTGTAGCAGAGGAAAGCTGCCTAGCTCATGGCAGTCAGGAAGGAGAAAGGAGAGAGAGGAGAGGAGGCAAGGGACAAGGTACCATCCCCAAGGGCCCGCACCCACTAGTGACCTACTTCCTTCAATATGCCTGTAGTTACTACCACCTCTCCGGAGTCCATTCAAAATACTAATCCACCAAATGGATTAATCCACTGATGAGACCAGATCCCTCATGATCCAATGGTTTCCCAAAGCCCCACCTCTGGACATTGCTGCAGAGATTTTGGGGGACATTCCAGATCCAAACCATGACACCACCAAAGCCTCAAAGGGCATCATCAAAGCCCCTTGAGAAGGCGCCAGGCTTCGGGAAAGGAGCTGGGTGTGAGGAGGTGTGAGCAGCCTTCCCGTGGAGCAGAAGAGCGTGGCTCAGTGTTGGCTGGCRTGGACGGAGTCAGCTGGCGTGGGTGCCTGGAGGGGGACCCAGGGCAGGGCACAAGGGATGCCTGATGTACCCAGACCCTCTCACCACCTCTGCTCCCTGGAGGCACGGTGAGGCGGCTGGGGCTGGAGGAGTAGGGATTAGGCAGATGAACAGTGGCACCCACCAGGGGCAGAGTCGGGCTCCCAGCATTATCCTCTCAGACAAATGATAATTTGTGCTAATTGGGAATGAGCAATTGCATATTAGGTTGATTCCTTTCCCGGCCCACGGCCTTTGTTAGCGGCAGACACAAGACAGCTGTAATTAAGGGGCGGCATCTTGGCTGTGCGCACTGCACTTGTCTGTGGGGGAAGAGAGGTGCGGTAGTGGGCGTGGCCGGGAGGGTGGCAGGGCTGGTGGGCGTGGCCGGGGAGAGTAGCAGGGCTGGTGGGCGTGGCCGGGGAGAGTAGCAGGGCTGGTGGGCGTGGCCGGGGAGAGTAGCAGGGCTGGTGGGCGTGGCCGGGGAGAGTAGCAGGGCTGGTGGGCGTGGCCGGGGAGAGTAGCAGGGCTGGTGGGCGTGGCCGGGGAGAGTGGTGCTGCTAGTGGGCGTGGCCGGGGACCAAATTCTGAATCCACCCCTTCCCCCTGCGTGACCCCAGCAGGTTTCAGCCCCAGCCAGTCCACTTTCTGTAAACTGGGACTGAGCGGACCTGCCCAACGGGGTAGTGGAGAATTCATTGAAGCTGTGCATGTTATATCCATGCATCGCCCAAATTCTATCAAGGGCTTGGAGTGAGGTGCCCAATAATTGTCTCACTTTTCTTCTTCTTTCCAAGAGTCCAGGAAACACCCCTCTTCTTCCTGCCGCTGGGAAGCACTAGGGCAGTGTTTCTCAAACTTTCTGTGTCCCCGCATCCCCTAGGGATCTGGCGAACATGCAGAGCCCAACTCAGCAGATCTAGGTGGGGCCTGAGAGGCTGTGTCCAGGGGATGCCAACACTGCTGGTCCCTGGTCCCCAGGTGACACTTTGGTGAGGTTGGAAAGAAGCTGATCCTAAACTGGGGCATGACAGACTCTGGCAGAGGCCGGTACATSGCGCCCACCTGAGTGGCTGACCCCGGAGGCCTGGGCAAACCTGCGAGCAAATGTGCTGCTGTCAAGTCCCCCAGGTATCAGCCTGCAGAAACCGAAGCCCAGGGTGTGTGTGCGCGCTTAAGGAACTGACTTCTGCAATATTGTGAGGGCCACAAGTCCAACATGTACAGTCCAGGCCAGCAGACTGGAAGTTCAGGCAGGATTTTTGTGTTACAGTCTTAGGTAGAATCTCTTCTTCTCCAGGGAGCCTCGGTTTTTGCTCTTAAGCCTTCAAGGGCTGGTTGAGCCCCGCCCACATGGAGGGCACTATCCTCTATTTAAAGTTACTAATTACAGATGTTCCTCACATCTGCAAAAAAACCTTCAGAGCAACACCTAGACTAGTGTTTGACCAAACAACTAGGCAGCAGAGACTCACCAGGCTGATGCATACGATGAAAGGTCACACCAGGTATGAGGGCTCTTCTGCTCCAGCGGCACTCTGAGAACCAGGGGCCTGGAGTGTTAGTTCTGGATCTTATTATTTGGATACTACTGGGGAGAAGAGAWTGGTAAAAGGTAGAACACTACTTTAAATTTGGGAAACAGATGTCCCCTGAGTCCCTCTGCTCTTCCCATAAGGCCTGTTGTTGTGACCTAGTTGGTCGTTGTCCACTCACAGGCAGAAGTTCTCAGGGGGTTGCTGTGGCCAGGCCAGTCTCTGGCAGCCCTGTCCTTCCAAGTCCTCCCTGCAGTTTCCCTGGAGCCTGTGACCCTTCATTTTCCTCTGCAGGGAGGGGTGGCAGAACAGCCAGGGAGGGGGCAGGTTGGATCAGAAAGGCCGAGACAGCAATGTCCCCCAGTGCCACTCTTCAGGGACCCTCTTCCCGTGGGGCTGGAGCCCAAACTATCTCCCAGCTTTGCTGTCAATCTTGGAGAGAATAAGAACAAACAGGTCTGACCATTAAAGTCCAGCCTAGGACTCAGTGGCCACCTGTTGCCGAGTATGTGCAAGGCCCCAGGTTTGATTCCTAGCACAGGGGGAAAAAATGTCCAGTCTAGTGTAAAAAGCACATGARTGCACATCCTTTTTCCCACCTGAGCATTCTGCCCTCCTCACAGCTTTGGCCTGTGGGGTGTGGGAGGTGGCAGGGTGCAGACCACATGGCCTACTCCCACTGCTCCCGCCTCTCTGTGGTGCTGGGTGGTCAGGAACCAGCCTGTCCATTAGTCTGTGTGTCCACCAAGCCCTTTTCACAGGGCTGTGGGTATCCCTGGTGACCCTGGGCTGTTCTTTGCTCAACCCACCAGCAGGAAGAGCTGCATTTGAACATTCAGTTACACTGTGTGTACCAAACAGAGCATCTCAAACTGCTCTGCCAAACCCTCTCAGAGTTGGGATGCTTTGGTCAGCAAATAGTAGAAAACCCACCCAACATGGCTTACTGGAACAAGAGGGTGGGGCTTCTGAACTGTTTTAATGCCTCGGACTTTTTGACATTTGGTGAAATATAAGAACAGTGTTCCTATGTAAAATCGMATTTGTGTGGGGCTGGGGTGTGGCTCAGTGGTAGAGCACTTACCTAGCACACGTGAGGCCCTGGGTTSGATCCTCAGCACCACATAAAAATGAAATAAAGACATTGTGTCCACCACCTACAATTTAAAAATAAATATTTTAAAAAATAAAACAACTATATTGAAAACTAGGTATGTGTGTGAGTTGGGGGTYCCCCAAGAAATAGATGACCCACGAGACTCCACCTGCCAGAGCTTAGCCTGTGAGAGAAAACGGGGGAGGAGCTGGGAGAGGCTGGGGGAGTTGTGGGACCTCAGTGGAGGGAGGCAAGGAAGGAAGGAAGGAAGGGCTGAGGGGAGGGA